AACTAGGGCTGACCCATCAACAGGCCTGAGGTCACCACTCCAAATCCATCACCCCAGGCTGTGTTGCTGGGATGGGAAAAAAAAAAACCCTCTAAAGGAGATTTCAGCATGACCCTTCTCTCAACTGGGAACAGTTTGTGGAACACGGTGACAGGGAGACAGGAAGGAGTTTTGCATACAGAAGCGAGACATATCAAGGCCACAGTAGAAATATGATTACCGTAACTATCAGAATCACAAGGTCATAATATCCTTTGCTGGGCTTGCTAAGTCACAGTGTCCCAGTTCTATGCTACTCCTACCACCGCCCACCACCACCCCACTTGTTTCTCTGTTTTTCCGGCTTGAGATGGCCTCAGGGCTTGGTGACCAATTCAAACAATGGGACCTGTGGAAAACAGGACATACAGGCCTAGGAACAGCCCTGCCCTGCCAACTGGCTGCAGTCTGTTGGAGGAAAGACCCAGGCACTGGATTTCTGTCCTTGTATGACCTTACACCTGTGGGCCTTTCAGAAATCTGTTTTTTTCCCACTGGAAAATGAGGCTCTCACAGCTCACAAATCTGCCTCCTAATGACTTGCAGGCTCAGGAAAGACGTGTATCTAACCTGATGGTCAGACAGCCGGCAAATGGCTATATCTATCTCTAGGAAGAGTACTGATCACTGCTGACCCCAGGAGACTGTGTTCTGTTGGGGCAAGACCCTGCCTTCCCATCTCACCAAAGCCCCTTCCTGTCTGAACCTCCTTCAAGGTCGTTGGGAGGTAGAACAAGATGAAGCAAGGCAGTTCCTGGTGGCAAATAAAGGGCAGAAATCATTGCCAATTGTCTGCCTATAGAGGCTTGTGCTTCTGCAGTCTACACTCTGAAGAGCTGTGCACATGAGCCACACAGCCACAGGGTTTGGAGGTAGAGCTGGGGATCTGAAATTCATAGTGGGGTGAGCTCACCAGATGTGAGATGGAGCTCACCAGATATGAGATGGAGGTTACCCTTGAATCCTATTGTTCAACTATTTCTGCCACTGACATCCTGGGGAGCCATATACCAACTTCTGTCAGAGTCCACAATGACATAAGTCTTTTATTTTTGTTTCTATTATTTTGTGCTTGTGTGCGTATGATGTTCATGTGTGAATACAGATACATGTGTGACTATATACACATTGAGCTCAAAGGACAACCATCAGGAATTGCTCCCTCTTTCCGCCATTCTGTGGACTCTGGAGAACAAGCATTGGTCATTAGGCCTGTGGAGCAAGTGCCTCTCCCACTGACCCATCTCTCAAGAATATGGCATTTAGATGTTTTAAAACTTTAGGACATTTTATGATAGTGAGACACATCTGCTCCTGGCAGCACCAGTCTATTTCAAGAGGAAGGTGGGCATTGAAGAGGCTCCTTTTGGAGTTTGTTAGATGAACTGGACATGCAGGATCCATAGAGAAATGACTGCTGAACTCACCTAAAGGTGAGACGATCCTTCAGGTGTAGTATTGAGCGCGGGGCCCCTTTGTTCCGTCCCGCCCAGCTAGCTTACAACCAAAATAATTACACAGAAACTGTATTAATTAAATTACTGCTTGGCCCATAATCTCTAGCCTCTTACAGATAACTCTCACATCTTGATTCAACCCATTTCTAATAATCTGTATGTCACCACGAGGTCGTGGCTTACCGGCATGAGTCTAACCAGTGTCCATCTTAGGCAGGAGAAGCATGGCGTCTGCCTGACTCTGCTCTCCTTCCCAGCATCCAGTTCTGTCTTTTCCACCTATCTAAGTTTCTGCCCTATCAAACGGCCAAGGCAGTCTCTTTATTCAACCAATGAAAGCAACACATCCTACACCATTTGGGGGTTCCTGCTTCATAAAAGAGCCTGTGAGACTTTCTGCAGGATACAGAAGAAAGTGACTGCAAACTGCAATAGAGGCAGAACTGTCTTTGAAATTTTCTGTTTTGTGGGAAAGTCTAATGGACACTATAGACCTGTATGCTGAAGATGGATGCCCCAACAGTACAGAAGAACTGTGGTGACTGTCCAGGTAGCGAGATATCTGTCAATTCTAGAGTTTTGAAAGTTGCTTACTTAGCTTCTCTAGGATCATGAATTATAGGCTCAATGTCCTGCTAATGAGTGAGTACATACCATATTCATCTTTTTGGGTCTGGGATACCTCACTCAGGATAGTGTTCTCTATTTCCATCCATTTGCATGCAAAATTCAAGATGTCATTGTTTTTTACCGCTGAGTAGTACTCTAATGTGTATATATTCCACACTTTCTTTATCCATTCTTCCATTGAGGGGCATCTAGGTTGTTTCCAGGTTCTGGCTATTATAAATAATGCTGCTATGAACATAGTTGAACAAATGCTTTTGTAATATGATAGGGCATCTCTTGGGTATATTCTCAGGAGTGGTATTGCTGGATCCTGGGGTAGGTTGATCCCGAATTTCCTGAGAAACCACCACACTGTTTTCCAAAGTGGTTGCACAAGTTTACATTTCCACCAGCAATGGATGAGCGTTCCCCTTACTCCACATCCTCTCCAGCAAAGGCTTTCATTGGTGTTTTTGATTTTAGCCATTCTGACAGGTGTGATGATCCTAGAGAAGCTAAATAGAAGGTGAACCTCCCCCCCCCAAAAAACATGTAGTTATCCTCCTGGATATTGGAAGTATACAAGATTTCCAAGCAAAAATAGAGAGCTTGGGCGTGGGGGTGGGACGGGGGTAAGGAGAGATGGAGAGAGAGGAGTGAGAAGGGGAAGATGGGGAGAGCGTGGGGGAATGGGACAGTTGGGATGGAGGAGGAGTGGATATGGGAGCAGGGAAGTATATATGTATATATCTTAATTAAGGGAGACATTTGATGGTTGGCAAGAGACTGGACTCTAGAAGGGTTCCCAGGTGTCCAAGGAGATGTCCCCAGCTTGTTCCTTGAGCAGCTGAGGAGAGGGAGCCTGAACTGGCCCTATACTATAGCCACACTGATGAATATCTTGCATATCACCATAGAACCTTCATCTGGTGATGGATGGAGATAGAGACAGAGACCCACATTGGAACACTGGACTGAGCTCCCAAGGTCCAAATGAGGAGCAGAAGGAGAGAGAACATGAGCAAGGAAGTCAGGGCCGCAAGGGGTGCGCCCACCCACTGTGACAGCGGGGCCTATCTAATGGGAATTCACCAAGGCCAACTGGACTGGGACTGATGGAGCATGTGATCAAACCAGTCTCTCTGAACGTGGCTGACAATGAGGGCTGACTGAGAAACCAAGGACAATGGCACTGGGTTTTGATTCTACTCCATGTACTGGCTTTGTGGGAACCTAGTCTGTTTGGATCCTCACCTTCCTAGACCTGGATGGAGGGGGGAGGACCTTGGACTTCCCACAGGGCAGGGAACCCTGACTGCTCTTTGGACTGGAGAGCGGGGGAGAGGGAATGGTGGAGGAGAAGGGAAATGGGAGGAGGGGAGGAGGTGAAAATTTGTAATAATAATAATAATAATAATAATAATAAAGAAAGTTGCTTACAATGCACTTCCTGTTTACGTAGGTAATATTGTATCCTTCTGGAGTCTTTGATAGAGTTGAAGAATAGATAGATAGTTATAGTTATAGTTTTCCTTAGTTATGATAAAAGATTAAGTAAATAGAAATATTTTAACTGTAATTTTTGCTTGATAACTGTTTTGTTATGTGTAATTTTACTATATTAAAGTTAAAAACCTTCCTTTTTATTTAAATAGAAAAGGGAAGGTGATATCAAAGTCCCCTCTGTGTGCTGTGATTAGCATTAATGAATAAAGAAACTGCCTTGGCCTGTTGATAGGGCAGAACTTAGGTCGGCAGGGAAGACGGAACTGAATGCTGGGACAAAGAAGGGCCAAGAGGGATGCCATGGATCCGCTGCCAGAGATAGACATGCTGAAACCTTGCTGGTAGCTCATGACCTTGTGGTGATGCGCAGATTATTAGAAATGGGTTAAAGTAATATGTAAAGTTAGCCAATAAGAAGCTAGAGCTAATGGGCCAAGCAGTGATTTAATTAATACAGTTTCTGTGCGATTATTTCAGTTCTGGGTGGCCGGGACGAACAAGCCGTTCCTTGCAACACAGTTAAAGTTTGTGAGCTTTCATCTCAAATCAGTTCTCCCTAACTTCCTTGGCTTATTCTCTTAAATCAGAGGAACTGGATTCCTCCCTCTCAGTCCACAAGCATCCTGACTTGTACATTCACACATCATCACCTCCTGCCCAATGGTAACGTGTGCCACACAGTCACACTATAAACATGGCTGATATTGGTCAATCATTCAACCATCCTTGTTGGCTCTGTAAGGAAGAAACACTCGCCATGGTCGTGAACTCACTTATTTTTCTCCTTTTAATTTGTAGCCATTGGTATTTTCTACTCAGAGAAATAATCACCTTAAGGGTAGATTAAACAAAATCGCATAGGCAGCTAGTTTATAATAGACATAATTCTGTCAGCAAGATGAAAGAGGAACTTCGTTATGGCCTCTAACAGAAAGCACCACAGTGGCTGACTCTGTTCAGGAGGGTGACTGGAGCACTCAGAGAGAGGGAGCGTGCCTGGGAGGGTGGATAGAGCAACACGAGAGCCACAATTCTACTGTGCTCATTGATCAACCAAAGCTGGTTGTTTCTCCTCTATGAGTTATCAAATTATGGGCTAGCCTTGACAAACACTAGGAGCCTTCTCAACAGAGTATTCTTCCATGGATACATTCTGAGTCTTCTTCCCAGCACTTACTGAATTGTTGTTACCCCTTGTTGGCAGCCTCAGGTTCAACAACTTGGGGCCTTAGTGTTGGCACAAGGTCCGTCACTGCCACTCAAGCATCCTGGGTGACCTTTGGGTTGGAATAACTTGGCTAACCTTAGGTATTTTCGTTGGAGTCTCCTTGAACTATCCTAGAAACTGGGGTTGCATCTCATCCTGCCATCACAATATAAGGGCCACTGTCACCCCTGCAACCCTAGAGAGAAGCAAGCATTCCCTGTGCATCCTTCGCAGATCTGTGAGTATGAGTTCTCCTAGAGTGACCCCTATGCCAGGGGTTGCAGGAGGCTTTGGGGGCAAGAAGCAGAAGGAAGACACTGTTTGTGTCAGGGAAGTTTAGACTCTAACAAATTTGAAGACACAGATGACATTGTGTCAGACTAGTGACAGCCTAGGTTCTTGTGGGTTCTGTTTACTGTTCAGATTTTATTCATCAATGACTTGTCTTAGTGTATGGAGAAAGGCTTCTTACCGGGGTCTAGGCTTAATGGTGACACAAGCTGTACCTATTTCCCTAAAGATAGTGTTGTACCAAGCTTGGTGGAGTCATGGTAGTGGGAGCCTCAATCTGGTTTCTGGGGAGGGACCTGGAATTAGCTTCATGGAAGGTGTGAAGTTTCACTGACTCTACAAAACAGATTTAGATGGCAAAATGAAGAGGAAATCTATTTCAAACAGAGAAGGCAGCAAGCACAAAGGTCCCATGCATAAAGAGCAAAGGCTAGAGTTGATTGGTTTTCCAAGCCCCACCCTCTACTCCCTGACCGTGTCTCTAAAGTTTCTCTACCTTCCCTGCCCTGCTTCCTTATTTTATTAAGTTATAATTGTATTTAATTATGTTTATAACTTTTTAAATTCACCATACAAATTGATGGGCTTACTGTGGCTTTTTCCTACATACTCAGTTCTTGTCTCTTTCCCTCCCCTGCTGTCCTTCCCATCCCCACTCCTTGCTACTGGCTTCCTCCTCCTTTTACTTTCATGTCATGTGTATTACTAGCTCTTTCCCCCATCTTCTCTTCCCTCAAGATTTTTTCTTTTCCTCTCATAGTCTCCTTATTTTATGACCTCACACAGTCAACACACACATATATGTATACAAACATACGTACACAAACTGGAAATTCGGCAGAAAATAGGGTGTTTACCTTTCTGAATCTGGCCAATTTTGCTAAGCACAATGGCTCCAATTCCATGATTTCATTTTTTTTTGTTATGACAGAATAAAATTCCATTGTGTACTTGGTCTCACTTTCTCTATCCGCTTCTGAGGGTGGGCATCTCTGCTGGTTTTATTTCTTACCTATTGTGAACAGAATCACGTCTGTCTTGTAGGAAGGTTAAGTATGAGATGAACAGGAGTTCACTGTAGGTTCCTGTTCACTCTTCTTCCTTCTATGACCATCCAGGTATCAGCATCAAAGATGTTCCAACTTGGGAGCCTTGTTGTCCTCTGTGGTCTGCTCATTGGAACCTCAGACTCACTTTTGGGTGGCTTAGGAAATGCTGTGAAGGATTTGGACGTTGGAAATGTTGTGAAGGATTTGGACGTTGGAAATGTTGTGAAGGATTTGGACGTTGGAAATGTTGTGAAGGATTTGGACGTTGGAAATGTTGTGAAGGATTTGGACGTTGCAGGTACTGTTGGAGGTGAGTCAATATAGGTCCCATCTGCCTGCTGGTCCTAGGAGTAGCCCTAATAAACACTATGCCTTCAATAGCAGAGGCTACTGGGAGGAGGCAGTGTTGTCTTCTATGGGTATCTTACTGAGAAATGTATAGCACTTACTTATCATATTAGAAATAAACAGTGCCATGACATTACATCCTAATAGAGTCTTGTGTATATATATATATATATGTATATATATATATATATACAGAATAAATTCACCAAAATGAGATTTCAAAATTTTAAATAGTATGTACATCTTAAGTAATGGTACCTATCCCACTTTCTCTAGCAATCTGTGGGAGCCTGTCCCCCAACCCTGCTTCATTTTAAGCACTAATATGGACAGCATTAACTGGTTTGCTATTATCAGAGATGAGCAGATGTAACTCATCTCACTTTCCATTTCTCTAATCCTAACCTGTTGTGGGATTTCCCTCTGTATGCTGTGAATACCATTGGTTAATAAAGAAACTGGCTTGGCTGATAGGGTAGAACAGAACTAGGTGGGGAAAACTAAACTGAATGCTGGGAGAAAAAAGGCAGAGTCAGGGAAAAAGCCATGGAGCTGCTGCTGGAGACAGACACGCTAGAACCTTGCTCGTAGGCCATGAGCCTTGTGGTAAAATATAAACTAATAGAAATGGGTTAAATTAATATGTAAGAGTTAGCCAATAAGAAGTTAGAGCTAATGGACCAAACAGAGATTTAATTAATACAGTTTCTGTGTGGTTATTTCCGGAGTCTGGGCAGCCAGGAAATGAACAAGCAGTCTTCCTACTACACTAATCATCCTCTCATTTTTCTCATCTTTACTACTGGTTTGCGCATTTTAACTATAGTGTGTATCAAAATTATTAGAATATGTTTCTGTAGTTAGTTTGACATTTTCTTATTGGTCTTCATTGACTGGCTGGAAGTGACATCAACCCACCTAGCTTGGATGTTCATAAACTTCTTAACTTCCTACTTAATTGCCCCTCTGTTCTCTGCCATAGAAGAACTGGGCTAACTAACAAGCAGTTCCTATAGGGACAGGAAAGCTCTGCACACACTGCCTTCAAACCTTGCCAATAACTTTGAAAGTTACCTAAGAGCATTCCACAGCTGGGGAACTGCAGCAGAGAGAAAAGGGTGTCAGATTCAAGGTTACCTAGGGAGTTGTATGGCAATATGGAGTTGTCTAAGCAATGCTAGCTGCATCATCATCTTAGGTAGATTCTGTCAGCACAGAGCCGAGTAGAATTATTGTGTTTATATCTGTGTGACTAAAAGTGTTCTTAATATTTATTTTCAATTGTATGTATGTGTCCCTCTGTATATATCTGTCTGTGTGCCCCCAGAAGCCAGAAAAGGGTGTCAGATGCCCATGAGGTACACATAGTGATGAGCCATTCAACATGGGTTTGGGGAATGGCACTCTGGTCTTCTGCAAAAGCAGCAAGTTCTCTAATGCTGAGCCATCTCTCCAGTCTCATGTCTGCATGGAGAACACAGAGAGTGTATGGTCATATATGAATACTTTTCTTTAAAAAAATCAAGTACACACACACGCATGCATGCACATATGCACACACATACAAACATGTGCACACACACACATTACAAACATTCTTAAAGGAAGAAGTGAAATATTTTCCGTGGAAAAGATACTCAGTACAGACAGGAAAGCTGTCTTCAGAAACAAAGGTTAATCTTTGTCTTCACGGTTGTGCAATTTCATTTCAGCAGTTAAAGCTGGAGAATGAGCTGAAACATCACAGTAAAACTGGGGCAAAACATATACAACACCAAGTTTCTGATCCAAGTGCTTTCCACACAAAGAAATGAAACAGGTTACAAAATGTGGAGAAATTAGTAGCATTATTGTGTTACAATAAATATTCCAAGGCAGCATTTTAAGCCGTGTGTCCTCTTGAAGATAAGGGATTGTTGTTGTTTCATTTTGTTTGTCCCTAAGCTGGGATAACTTGTTTTCACGGTAGAGATAATTTTCTGCACAATCATCCCTCACATGCCCTCACACTTTACACACGCCTCTGGCACACGCCATTCATTTCATTAATTCCCTAGCTGTTCTCTGAGATCTTCTGTTAGGATGCTCTGCCCTCTTCCTCCAATGTCAATTTATTTTCTCTGGACCTGATTCCAATCCATCTTTGAGAATACCTGTTTTTCATTTTTACTGGCTGGAACAGTATTCTCCCTCTATGTTTTTTCTTGGTTCTAGATTATTCCATTTCTTAGTTTATTCTCTCAATTGCTTGATTAAGTCTTTCAAACCCTTGTGAGCATCTCACTAAAAGGGACAGATCCTTAAGTCATCCCTGAAAACAGGTATACACAATCAACTTCAACTGCTTGATTGCTTTTTTTTTGATAAATGCTCAATATGTATTAGTATTAGGACAACCTAGAATCAGTGCATGGAGCCATCTCTGTGGACACATTTCCTAACCGTAGGAGTCTCGGGTTTCTCTTCTGCACAGTGGAGATGGTGGCAATCCCTCCCTCACTGACCTGATGCAGAGACTGATTGCCACAGCACAGGGAAACTGACTTCCTTGAGGCCAGGAGGATGGGAGCTCCTTCCCTAGTGGTGCAGGCACTCATTGATGACTGTTTTGACAGATGTCCTTCAGAACCTAGATGTGGGATCTCTTCAGAAAACCACGGATTGGGCATTAGCCAAGAACAACATTCTAGGAGCTTTGAACTCATTGGACCTCAGCAAATTAAACCCCTTTTCATCTCAGAATGGTTACGGGTGAGTCGGTGCTTCTTTGCTCCCAGAAAAAGGACTATCTGACTACCCAGTTTCAAAGTCAAATGGATAAACCTTGTCTTCCCACCCCAGAGCTGAGGACTTCTGAGGCAAGGCTCATTAGAGCTTGAGTTAGTCTGAGACAGGGCTACAGGGCCAGTTTGGAGAGTTTACACATCTGGATTCCCACATTCTGTAATTTCAGGTTGAAGGTGATTGTTTGTATCTTGGTACCTAAAGCCTTTCTTTAAGAATGACACAGCTCTTCTTGAAAGAAAGCTGGGAGTAAAAGTCCAAGTTCCTTCAAGGGACAGGAAACTAGAATCCACACTCCTTAGTCCCAAGCAGTGGCTTCATGAAATTTAGAGTCATACAGTCCTGGGTTGAAGTTCTGTCTCTGCTGACTATTGTTTCCCTGGCTCAGTCCACAGCACCTGAGAGTATAGAGGCTCACACTTGTGACCAGGATGTGGTAGAACAGGAGGGCGATGGGCAGAGTTGCAGGGCTGCAGGGAGAAATGACCAGAGGGCGATGGGCAGAGTTGCAGGGCTGCAGGGAGGAATGACCAGAGGGTGATGGGCAGAGTTGCAATGCTGCAGGGAGGAATGACAAGAAGGCATTTGTGGATTTTGGGCAGGTTGCGAATTAACAAACTCAGCTTCCTGAACTTGCAAGCTGAACCATCTTCCAACCTCCAAGGCATCAATCTGAAGCTTCCCCTGGTTTTGGATGCCTCTGTGACTCTGTGAGTATGTCACTTGGATTAGGGGGTGGAGTACAATATAACCTATGTAAGTAGGCACTTAATTCCTAGTTACTCTTTGACCTCTGACCCAAATTTCCTAATCTCTAAAAGACAGGACCCTCTGAGGCCTAAAATCTCAATCTTTAAATAGTCTAGTGAAAACATGCCATGTTAAGTGATTGAATGTTGATACAAAATGTGTGTGTGAAGCCGGGCGGTGGTGGCGCACGCCTTTAATCCCAGCACTCGGGAGGCAGAGGCAGGCGGATCTCTGTGAGTTCGAGGCCAGCCTGGTCTACAAGAGCTAGTTCCAGGACAGGAACCAAAAGCTACGGAGAAACCCTGACTCGAAAAATCAAAAAAAAAAAAAAAAAAAAAAAAAAAAAGAGAAAATGTGTGTGTGTTGCCTGTGTTCACTCGTGTGTGTAAAGTTTTACATGCTCACTCACATTTGTTTGTGGAGTTGTGAGGTCAACATCATGAATCTGCCTCAACGTGGTAAGTACGCCAGACTAATTTCTCAGATGGATTCTCTCACAGTACTTGGAACTCATAGGTTTGGGCTAGACCTCCTGGATAAGTAAGATACAATTTTTAAAGTTTTTCCACTTAAAATGAGAGACACAGAAAAATGGCCAAGTCAAGAATCTGTGTAGCAGAATCTCTAGAGATTGGGGGGGGGGGTACCCTTCAAAGAGAGCACTTGCCCAGTATATGTGAGTCTCTGGCCTCAATCATCAAAACTGGGGGAAGTGGTGTTTGTATCTGATACACTTGTGAAGCCATGAGCTGTGTGATCCTGTGGTAGTTGTTCAGCTTCTCTGTGACCAGGATTTCATGCTCAGAATTCAAGAAAAAATGTGATTTGTCTCCTAGAACCATTATAATGATTAGATGGAGTATACCAGATATAATATTTTAAATTAATGCCCACAGGTAATTTGTGTTACACAATGTTAGCAATTAATTTTTATTATTTGTCTCATGCCAAGTAAAAATCTTGCATGTGATAATGATGCATGGCCCAGAGAAGTCTAATTTAAACATGTAAGTTTTGTAGAGTATTTGTAACATGTTGACATTACTGTTGTGATACTGACATTGTCCATAGACATCCTGCACTGTGTCCACCCACGTAGATGAAAACAGTGCAGAGCCTTCTAGACCTCTGCCTGGTGTGACTCCTGTTTTCTGCAGGCCTATCATTGGATCCATGGTTGATGTCTCTATTTCCTTGGACCTTGCAACTTCACTCGGTGTTCAAACCGATGCCAAGACTGGCCTTCCCACACTGAGTATAGGGCAATGCTCAAGTGATACCGACAATATCTCCATTTCCTTGTTGGGCAGGTAAGGCTCATCCATCTCAGTAGAGCCAGGCTCTCGGGGGGCTTTAGGACCTCTGACTTTAATCCTATTCGTATACCTGGGAAGTAGCATCGTAAAATATACAATAGGACCAGCCTCAAGTGTCAACTCTGCCACAGCCATCAGCGCTGTCACTCTATATCCCTCTTTCGCGGCCTCAGTTTGCACATCCGTGGGTCTGAACAGTAGAGATCTATACTCATCACCTTCTGGGATGGAGATATGAGAAAATACACATGTTTAGCCTACAGCCTGCAACATGCTAAGTGCTCAAGAACCATGAGATGTACACTGAGTCTATAGACTATGTCTTTCCATTGCTGAGGCAGGAGGATGAGCCTTTCCAGCCATACTATGCATGTGCCTATGGTACCTTTCAGCTGGGTCAATGTGCCTCATGCTTCTGAACATGTTAACATTACATCCACCTCCAGAGGGAGGCATTTGGAAAATTAGATGCTAGCATGGTCTCTGCTTGTCCTGAAGTAATCTCTACCCTCAGGAAAATCCCTAGAGTGGAATCTTGACATCCTAATCCTGTCATTTTCCATCACTGATTCCTGTTGATACTCATATCTGCACTTTTAATTGTGTGCTTAATATACAGGTTTGACTCAAACAGGGGTCAGAGGAGGTGAAGGTACCCAGTGTCTGGGGAAGGAAACATTACCCTTAAGTCAAGGACTGGGACTGGGAAGATTGGTCATGAATAGAGGGATGGCCCCTGATTCCAGCCTTGATAACTATGTCCTAAGGCCAACCAACCTCCCTCTACCAAAGACCTGATCTCAAACTAAAGACAGAACCACAGTCTGCGAAGCAGATCCAGGGAACTCATGTTGTTCCACTGGGTCTGAATACCCATGGCCAAGAATACTCTCCTGAGGCTGGTCTGCCCTCATTCTCCTTTAGAACCACTGGCTTTTGTTCTGTGCTTCAGGCAAACGTTTTCCTACCACAGATAGTCTTGTTAAATAAAACAACTTACTTGAACTCAATGTATCTTCTCACCTCTCAGGGCCTTTGCTAGATTTTTTCTCTTTTTCTTATAAGAATATTCTCTTGTCCTTCATAGTACTTGTTTCTGTTGTCACCGTGTGCATACACACTTTGTGACAGGGTCTCACTGTACAGCTCTCGTTAGCTTCAATCTCAGAGCTCTCCCTGCCTCTGTCTCCTGAGTGGTGGGGTCATAGGTGGGTGACACCAGACGAGATGTCACACTGTGTATTTAACTGTACCTGTTCTTTGATTGTTTTGTGTGTTGGGAGATGGGGTGTGTGCCTGTGGGCACACATGCACATGTGTCAGTGGCTGGAGATCACCACATAGGCTAAGATGACCAAGGAATCTCCCCATTTCTGTCTTCATGGTGCTGGATTACAAGTGTTTGTTATCAATTGGCTTTTCCTTCTTCCTTTTTGAAAAATATGAATACTAGAGAGGAAACTCAGGTCCTCATGCTTACATGTGGCCTAGGCTATCTCCTTGCCCCTTCACTCTTTCTTCTAGTCAAATATCTGTGATGTTCCAGGCAGGCATTTTTTCTGAGCCCTGGAGATGGATTTGGTGAAAATGAACAGGCTCTCTGTTTCCTACAACACATCCTGAGGAAAAGGCGGGCCAAGGACTATTTGGTCCATCAGGGAATTTAAGGAAAATGGAGATCCCTACACAGACCACCCTACTTAGCAGGACACAATGAGAGCAAACCTTCCCTTCAGTAAACACTCAGGATGGGCTACCCTGGGAAAAGGCAGCTGGGTGAAAGTTGAAGGGGGAAAGGCAACCTCAGTGAGACTTCTTTATAAAAGAGGTTAAAAACTTATTAGTTATTTCCCCAGTGTCCCAAAGCTCAGTCTGGTGCTCTATAAATGAGGCTGGATGAATGATGCACTGAGGAAGCAGCTACTTAGGCGTGAGATGCTCAGATGTTCAGTGATGGTCCTTCCTGACATGGGCCACTGGGAAACAAGCTGAAATGAGTCCAAATGAGTCTGCAGAGGAGAGTTGTGTGTCACATGACCTCTGGAGGACTATTTGGGTCACGCTGAACTCTTGACCAAGCTTTGTAAATCTCTTCTTTTTTTTTCCAGACGAAGCACCCTTATCAACAGATTATTGGATGGTGTCTCTAGCCTTCTTACAAAGTCAGTGAGCAGCCTGCTGCAAAACCAAGTAAGTCACCAGTTCTTGGCACCCAGAGCCAGGCCTGCTGGAGGCACCTCCTCTACCCTCAGTAGTTGGGCTACAGAGAGAGGAGGCAGAAATCACAGGTGCTGCCTTGAGCTGGATACCACATCCATGCCCCACCTGTGCGCGCCACCCGTGCGCGCCACCCATATGCGCCACCCGTGTGCGCCCCGTGTACACTACCCGTGTACTTTAAGCTAATGTTTTCCTGTAATCAACACACTTTTCATTTAAACGACTGTATTTAAGCACCTGTGAATGAGAAGCTGCAGGGAACTGGGCATTGGGGCTCCCCAAAGGCTTAAGCCTTCCGAGGATCTTGAATTTCCAGGCTCAAGAGTTCAAGGTTTAAGGAGTCGGGGGTATAAAGGTTCTGGATGGCGGATCTTCAGATCTTGAACTTCTGAGGTGGGGGGTTCTCAGAAGCCTGGGAGAGTTTTGTCTTGGGCTGCTGCAATTTCATGGTTCCAGATTGTTAAGGTTAACTGTCTTCAAGTTCCTAGAAATGAGCCCCTCTGCTTGGAGAGGCTGGGCAGTGTGTTCCAGCAAAGTCTCATTTGTTTTCCTTCTCTCTCCCCTTTTCTTTCTCTCTGCCTCTCAGATATGTCCTGTGATCGAGTTCATATTCAGCCATGTGAATGTAAATCTTACTCAAAACCTCCTCTGTAAGTCACAGCTTGGGGACTGGAGTGCCTTCCATGGGCTAAGACAACAGCTGTGGGTGTGCCCCTGCCAGGGACCTTGCATCCTGACAAAGTTGGGTCTTTCACTTCTCTTCCCCTCATTGGGGCTTCTTTTGAGGCTTCAGGTCTCCATGATTGACAGGGTTGCTGGGGAAACAGGAATCAGGCACCAAGGGTGTCAGAACCTGGAGGTGATCCTTTTGTGGTTACACAGTCCCTTTAAACAGCCCGTTAGTGTCTTGTGTGTGCTACCTCATTGTGTCCTCAAGAGAGTCTGTATAGTGGGCCACTGTCATTGCCCACTTTAGATGAAAAGTGACACACTTGAAGTCACAGAAGTGACAGAGGAATGAGCAGGAGGGAGGTAACAAGTTGGGTGGGCCTCTGTTCAGTTTCCCATGGTAAATACTGAGGTTTTGATCATGACTTGGTTCTTTCAGCTAATCTACAGTTGCCAGTCTCCCTCTGAAGAGGAAGGAGCCAAAGGAGGGATGCTATAGCACTCCTGCTGGTATGGGCAGTGTCCTACTTACTTTTCTATTGCTGTGATGAAACAAAGTGAGCAAGGGAAACTACAAAAGAAAGCATTTGTTTTGGGATTCAGAAGCCCAGAGGGTTAGAACTCACGACCATCAGACTGAGGGGCATGGCATGCAGCATCAGCTGAGAACTCATGTATTGAGACACAGTCACCAGTTAGAGCGAGCTAACTAGGAGAGGCATGGTCTTTTCAAATCTTAATACCCATCTCTAGTGGCACACCTCCTGCAACAAGGCTGTACCTCCTAAACTTCCCAAACAGTTTATCTCACTGGGGACCAAGTATTCAAACACGTGACTTATGGTGGCAGTTCTCATCAAACCCACAGGCAGACCCTGTCCTGTGCACAGCAGCCTGTCAGGAGCCAGGGCTATGCTCGTTTTGTTTCTGTCACAAGACAAGAGAAAGTGAGACCCAATCCTGACTCCAGGCTGAACTCTGATTTTGAGTACATTGTATCACGGCTAATAGAAACCCAGAGACAGAAATTGGGATTCAACCTGAAGGTCAGAAAAGCAAAGCAGCCAGTCACTGGCTCCTACTTCTACCTCAGTCTGAAATGGCGATTCTGCCTCTAAGAATCTCAGAATGAGACTGTGAGCGAGAGCTGTCTCCTCCCGTTTTATATTCCTCTCTAGTTCTGGGATTAAAGGCATGCACCACTATTGCCTGGTTTCTATGGCAAACTAGTGTGACTACTGGTCACCACGGGTGTGTGTGTCACCACTGCCTGATCTGTAAGGCTGATCAGTGTGACTGTTTTACTCTCTGAACTTCAGGCAAGTTTTATTTATTAAAATACAAATACAAATGAAATATCACTACACTACACCCTGAACCCTGAGCCTGCATCATGAAGCCAGACTGAGCTGGGGTTTTTGCTACTAAAAGAATTTCCTGGGTGGTTTTGACTGAGTTCTGACTTTGAGCATAGACAGTTACCCATGGCCTACATCCAGACTCTGACTTTGTGGGCATGGCTTCTACTCAAAATCTTTTCCCATCTGCATCTGATTCAGAGGAAGGGATGAGAAGGGTCAGGGCCACGGGGGAGAACAAGGCCCCAGATCTACAGCTTTCCCTCTCTTCTCCAAGGACTAATGCATGTGGTACTTCAGGGATGAGTGGATATGGTGAGGCCAGGCTTCCTGGATCTTCTCACTGCCACTGTGACAGCTAATGGCCTGAGGCCGTCTGTTCTCATTCCAGGTTAGTTCCCAGGGCCGTCATCTGACTTCCTGTGGCATTTCTCTCTAGAAATTGCAGCCACCATCTGTACAAGGTCTGCCTGAGCCCGCCTGAAGGACCCTCCCAGACTCCAATCTTCCTGTCCTCACCACCCCAGCATTAAACTATTAACTGCACCTTGATGTATGTGGCTTCTTTTAATCCTTGCAATAGAAGTGGTTGGTAGGGTGTGTGGTGTGTGGGTGAGAATGCAGCTTAGTGGATGAAGCAAATCCAGAGCTGGAAGGCCCATTAGGGCCCTCATCACAGCTCTCTTTTATGGAAAGTGTGGTGGAAACATGGAGAGAGTAGCCACAAAGCCGCGGTGTAAGTGCAGCGGGACCCCAGCCACCAGTCATACATGCGTAACTGTGTATTGACATGTGCTGTGTGCTAGCCAGGCAGTGGGACTGGATTACCTTCGGTCACAACTTTACTCAGAGCTTTGCCATGTCGCCTCTATGGTCCTGAGGACTGGGGTAGAATGAGGACCACCCTGCTCAATGAGACCCAGAAGCACGGACAGACAAGTTCGGGTGGCTATGGTCTTTCCTTCCTGTCTCGTCCTAAGAGCATCTCAAGCTCTTACGGTCTCCGGCCTCACTTATTAGTCCTCCATTGCTACTCCATTACTGGATATCAGAGTGATATATAGGAATCTTAGTCTCCCTGGAGATGCCATGGATCTTGGCAACACCCAGCAGTTCCTGATTCCACTCTAGTCGGGGAGGCTGGCACTAGAGTGGTCTTAATACTTTTCTACATCCTGATGACATGAAGATGAAACTGAGGTTCACCGAAGCAAAGTGATTCAGCCAGGTCACACAGTGAGCAAGAGCCAGAGCCAGGATGACATCGACCCTCATTTACATAATTATGGCTTTGCCTTTAAAACGCTATTCCTGAGCTTCAGCACCAGAAGACCCCAGGCATGAGCTCACTCCTAGTCCCCAGCCAAAATTAAAGGACTCTTACACTCTTCATTGGTTAATTAGTGTTGAGGTCTATATCTTTCTCAGGTGGATGATATCACTTCCCCTATGGGCTATGAGAAGCACGAGGAAGTTCTTTGGGAGCAGAATTTGTGGACATTCCACCTTCTCCATAAAGCCTCTGTTGGATAAACCTACCTACAACCCAGAGACAGTAACTGTTGGTTTGGTCCTTCCACGGCTTCTATGATTTGAATCTACAATGCTCTTTGCCATCACTAAATAACTTGGGTGCCTCTTGCAAGCCCCCATGTCAAACTTGGTTTAACTGTTCCCTTTTACTGTTGGGGGAAACTCCTCCCCAGAACAATTAAACAGATAAAACAAAATTTTCAGGAGAAACCATTAATTAAGTATTATGAAGATTATATCTGAACAAGAGAGACCTCTTGTTTAGAAGAGATGATAGCTCATCAAACAGTGTGGCCTTTCAATCTAAACTAACTTATAAAACTAACAATGCTTTGTTACATGAGGGCCTGCTTGTTGGGGTTTATGTCCTGCCCAGTTCCCCACAGCTGGCAAGACCCAAAGAAAATTCCCTGCCCCCACAAACACTTGTCCCCAACTGTAGCTCAGGTGCCAGCTTTAGAGACAAAGATGAAAAAGTAAGACACTCAGACATACAGCAGCTCAGAGAACACAGACCCATCTAAGAAGTCTTTCGAGGTCAACTTTCTGGTTTCTTTAAATCTTTCAGCAATTTCTCAGGGAACATTCCACTGAACAAGAGGAAGCAAATACCAGTCAAGTGTGGGCAATACCCTTTTTTAGTTACCATCTCCCAGACCAAGGCTTGAACGGTTTTTTGTAACCCAGATTCGAGACCAAGACTTAGAGCAATGTTTCATTTTTTGCTTTTAAGATTTATTTATTTTGTGTGTAAGTGTCTTTGCTTGCATGAGTTTATGTGCATCATGTGTGTGCAGTTCCCTGAGGAGGTCAGAGGAAGGTTTGAATTCCCTAGGATCCTAACTAGAGGCAATTGTGAGATGCTATTTGGGTTTTGGAATCAAATCCTGGTGCTCTGCACAGTAATAAGTGCTCTTTGCCCAAGGGACATTATTATAGGTAAACAAATAACAAGTCGCCTGAAAGTGTCAACATTGCTGAAAGTGAAATAAAAATCTTCAGACACTAACATTATAGAGTTCACTGTCTCTTTCAGCCGTGATAAAATGATGGTGTTTGAACATATCATTTTTGCTTTTCTAATATGCAAAGACCTACCCGTTGTTGGTAAAGGGAATGGATTCTCTCTCTCTCTCTCTCTCTCTCTCTCTCTCTCTCTCTCTCTCTCTCTGTGTGTGTGTGTGTGTGTGTGTGTCTGTCTGTCTGTCTGTCTGTCTGCCTTTCACTCTCGTGTGTGCTCTTTCTCTCTTTTTCAAAAAACATCACAGCTTGGTTGTATCTTGGCACAAGAAAAGTTGCAATATTGCAAAAGACATTGCATTGATGGCTGGTGATTCAGGCTGGTTCATGCTGTCTTGTCTGTGAAGAGGACCTAGGGCCTTATGGGTAAGGGAATTCTAAGGAACAGATCCTCTAACCTGCATCTAAGCCTGGTTTCTATATGACCCCCAACCATATTGCTTGGCCTCTCTGGTCTCAATGGCCTTGCTCAAAAATGGGGCTGAGTGGTGATTGGGAACAAATACAAGCTCATTGCTTAAGCATTGGGGTCAGTGGGATCAGGAAGCTGTCATGCCTAGGATTAGCGGTCATGTTGGGTATGAAGTCTTAGCATGGGACAGACAATGCTTCCCAGGAGACTCTGCATGAGACACTCATCCCACGACCTTTGTGGCCCGGTCTTTGGCCCTGACAGACAAGTACTTTACATTCCAGGAGACTCTCTGTATGCAGAGGTGGATGCCCTTTCCAAGGTGAAAGATGCTCTTTCCAAGGTGACTCAGAGCAGCCAGCACAGACCTGGATGGCCTGACAGCCGATCCCTGCACTACAAGAGCCCTTTGTGCATGCTGTGTTGATGGAGGAAGGTCATTGGTTAAAAAAAATAAAGAAACTTCTTGGCTGGCCCTCATAGGTTAGAACACAGGTGGGTGGAGAAAACAGAACAGAATGCTGGGAGGAAGAGGAAGTGAGCTCAGACTCGACAGCTCTCCTCTCGGGAGCAGACGCCTCAGAAGAGATGCCATGCTCCCTGCTCCTGGGCAGACACACGCGATGAAGCTCCGACCCAGGATGGACGTAGGCTAGAATCTTCCCGGTAAGCGCACTTTGGGCTGCAACACAGATGATTAGAAATGGGCTAGTCCAGGTGCAAGAGTTAGCCTAGAAGAGGCTAGATAGAAATGGGCCAAGCAATGTTTAAAAAAATACAGTTTCCGTGTAATTATTTTGGGTAAAGCTAGCCGTGCGGGCGGCCGGGTGCTGGGGACACAGCCCTGCCGCTCCTATTACTACAAATGGTGCCCAGATGTGTGGACAACTGAATCCACTGAAACCATGAGAAAACCTGGGAAAGAGTAAAGCATGTTTTCTCGGGTCTACTCTGCTTGCGAGAGGCAAGCAAGTGCTCTCATCTAAGAGAGGCTTTCTGACTCAGCTTTAGCTGCAAAACCCTGCAGCTCATTAAGAGGTCCTGCCACGAAACACTTAAACAGTATTGATGAAAAGCTGAACGCATGCTTTTCGGTTTTCAGCTGTACCAGGAAAAAAGCTGCGCCATTTAAAAATGCCGGCTTTCTGGGCCATCCTTCCAGGGCAAACTCTGACTGTTTGAGGCAGGAGGGCCGGCTACAGAGAGAGGACTTGAGTGTTGTCTGTTGTAGCTTGTTTAATGGCAAGGACCTTGAAACACTGTAGACTTGTGTCACTGAACGCGGCTCTGGCCGGTATCTCAGCCACAAGGTTGGAATGGCAGAAAGCTAAGGAATGGGCTACATCTAGCCGGCAAAGCCACGGCTTTAGTCCTACTGAGATTGCTTGGTAAATTAAAGACTCACGTGGTCAGAAAAAAAAGAGAGATATACACTAAAGAGAGATTCAAAGACAAAGAAAATTTCTAAATGGTTTAAACTGTGTTAAAAATATATGCAGACCAAAAATTGAAGTTCTTAAAGTAAAAAACAATAAAAAAAGGAAGAGAGTTGTTGTGTGTGGTAGTACACACCTTTAATCCCAACACTTGGGAGGCAGAGAAAGATTGACCTCTGTGACTTCAAGGTGTGGTAGCACATGCCTTTAATCCCAGTGCCTAGAAGGCAGAGACAAACAGACCTCTGTGACTTCAAGGTGTGGTAGCACACACCTTTAATCCCAATGCCTGGAAGGCAGAGACAGGCGGATCTCTGAGAGTTCAAGGACAGCCTGGTCTACAGAGTTATTCTAGGTCAAAGATACAGAGAACCTGTCTCAAAAAGCAAAAAGTTAAAAGTAAAAATAAACAAAATAGAGGTTAAAATAAAGTGCACAAAGATGAAAAATACACAGAGAATTTTGATACTGTATGCTATTATGCTCTCTTTGAATTGTTTGAATGCTGAGGAAGGAGCAACAGCTGCTAAAAGATATTTGTTTATAAATGCTGCTGAACTAATCCAACGTAGAGATTTTGAAAATTCCTTGACTTTGAAATTTAGATCTAAGGACATGATGCTTTGGAAAGGAGTTTCTTATTTTGTTTTCACAGAGGATGAGACCCTGTTCATTTCTTCTATTCCGATATGGTATGATGGGCCACGCCCTCCTGAAGGGTTGCTGTGAGCATCTTCAGAAAACTGCTTCGCTCAACTGCCAACTGAGATGAAACTAGCACACAGGTTATACCATGAAAGACCTAATTAACGACGCCCCCATTCAGCAGGAAGCAGTTTGGAGAGAAAAAACTGTGCCCATATTCCCAAATATGGTTTATAAATGTTCTTTAACATTTAAAGGGGGATATGATATAGATATGAATAATTTGTATTAGTATAGATTTTGCTTTATTGATAGAGATTTAAGGTCAATTTTGTTATATGTATATGCATATTTCTGCTATTGATTAAGATACTGTGATTATGTAGTTCATTAAAAAATGTAATGTATAATTAAGAAATAGGTTAATGGATAATCATCAGTAATGGTCAAGCTTGTAGTCATGTTAGTTAGATTTTCTAGATATATAGAGATACATTTCAGTTAGATAGACATTCTTCATATCTTTCAAAGACTGCAGAATATGGCATTTAATGTTTTAATAACTTAGGACTTTTCATGACAATGAGACACTCTGCTCCTGGCAGCACCAATCTACTTCAAGAAGAAGATGGGCATCGAAGAGGATCCTTATGGAGTTTGATAGCTATTTGGGCAAGAAACTGTTCTAGCCTGGACTATTGCGTAAACTGGACACAGAGAACCCACAGAGAGAGGACTACTGAACTTGCCTAAAGGTGAGATGATCTTTCGGGGTTACTGATTCATGAAAGAGTCTGCGAGGCATTCTGCAGGACACAACAGATAGTGACTGAACAGACTTTGAAATGTTCTGCTTCATGGAAATGTCTCTGGATACCATGGGCCTGTAGGCCGAAGATAGATGCCCCGACGGTACAGAGAAACTTTGGATGACTGTCCAGGCAGCGAGATGTCTCTGTCATTTCTAGAGTTTGAAAGTTGCTTTTTTCTTGTTTGCTTAGGTAATATTGTATCTTTCTGGAGTCTTTGATGGAGTTAAGAACAGTTAGTTATAGTTATAGTTTTCCTTAGTTATGATAAAGATTATTGTAATTTTTACTTGATAACTGTTTTGTTATATGTAATTATGCTATGTTAAAGTTAAAGCCTTTCTTTGTTTTTGTTTAAACCGAAAAAGGGGAAATGATGGAGGAAGGTCATTGGTTAAAAAAAAATAAAGAAACTGCTTGGCTGGCCCTCATAGGTTAGAACACAGGTGGGTGGAGAAAACAGAACAGAATGCTGGGAGGAAGAGGAAGTGAGCTCAGACTCGACACCTCTCCTCTCGGGAGCAGACGCCTCAGAAGAGACGCCATGCTCCCCGCTCCTGGGCAGACACACGTGATGAAGCTTCGACCCAGGATGGATGTAGGCTAGAAGCTCCCTGGTAAGTCACTTCATGGGCTACAGCAGATTATTAGAAATGGGCTATTCCAGGTGTGAGAATTAGCCTAGAAGAGGCTAGATAGAAATGGGCCAAGCAATGTTTAAAAGAATACAGTTTCCGTGTAATTATTTTGGGTAAAGCTAGCCGTGCAGGCTGCCGGGTGCCGGGGATGCAGCCCCGCCGCTCCTATTACTACACTGTGTAATATAACTGCAGACATTACTGTCAGCCGTGTGCACAACCTGGCCAGAGTGAGGACCTTTACATGTGTTTACCACATGTTTTCTCTGCACGTGGGGAACAGGGAGGTGAGGTGCAGTTTCCAGTCCCACATCACAGAGAAGGAAGAAGCCCCATCCCAATCATGAGTCAGCAGAAGGAAGAGTAAGGATGTGAACCCAGGTCCCCCCAGTTTCAGTGACAGGCTCTGACGAGACCACTGCAAATCCCCTCCTCCTCATCCTCATGAGCACTAGGAACTTCCCTGCCCTTCTTACCAAGGAGATCCAGGCACAAGTTGTTCACCTGTGTAACAACTGAGACAACTCTGGTCTGACCCAGCAACAGGCCTGAGGTCACAGCTCCAACTCCAGCATCCCCAGGCTGTGTTCCTCTCTTCATGAAGTTCCATCATGGCCCTTGGCCTGCTCTGTACCCCGTAGCTGGAAACAAGGTTTTCAAGGGTTTGTGAACCATGGTGGCAGGCAGCCAGGAAGAGGGTCTGCACACAGAAGCAAGCCTTGACAAGGCCACAGCAGGCTCTGGCTACCTGAGCTCCCAGAAGGCACCTGAGTTTAAGGACAGGCTCTCGGGGCTTGCTATGTTGCTGTGGTCCAGCCGGAGCTGCCCTGCAGCCCAAGGCTGCGGTCCCACCTGTTTCTGTGTTGTTCCAGCTTGGTCTGGGCCCAGAGTGTGGCGACCAATTCAAACAACGGGGCCTGTGGAAAACAGGAAATAGGATTAACAACCATAGGAATTGTCCTGCCGTGCCAGCTGGCCTCAACCTGATGTAGTTGGAAGGACCCAGACACACCTCTGTGTGACCTTGGGAACAATCGCCTCAGAAACGTCTTCCATCCACTGACTGGAAAACGAAACTCTCAAACTAACTTCCTGACACGTAGGAGGCACAATGAAGAAGCGTATCTACCCTGAAGCCCAGTGAGCAGTAAATGTCTGCATCTGTCCTCGGGTGGATGCGTGTTGCTCACTGCTGCCCCCCGGAGGCTATGTTCAGGAACAGCTGCTCCTGTGCTCAGGCAGGGTATAGATCCTGCCTAATGATCTCAGGAGAGCCTCCTCCTGTCTGAACCTCTTTCCAAGGTCAACGGGAAACAGAACAAGTTGGAAGGACAGTTCTTGGTGGCAAATAAAGCACAGGTGTCATTGCCAGTCATCTGCTCATAGAAGCTTGTGCTTCTGCAGTCCACACTGGGAAGAGCTGGGCACATGAGCCACAGGGCTTGGAGGTAGATTGAAATTCAGCTCAACAAACATGAGATGGAGGTCGCCCATGAGTCCTATTTTCCGGCTGTCTCTGTCACTGACACCAACTTTGGTCACAGCCCATAATATATTAAACCTAAGAAGCATTAGTCTTTGAGGTTTGTTTGATTTTATTTATTATTTTGTGTCGGTATGTGTATGACGCTCATGTGTGAATGCAGAAACAGGTGTGACCATGCGTCTGTTGAGGTCATAAGATAACTGTCAGAAGTGATTTCCTAATTCCACCGTTCTGTGGGTTCTGGAGAGAAAACAGGTGTCATTTAGGTCCTCATACTGACCTGTCTTGCTGATTCAAGAGGAGACACGGGTTAGCATGAAGAAAACACAAACTTTCACCCTAAAGCATGGACTCCATGTCACAGAACTGTTTTAGATTCTCACTGATGATAATAGACTACTTCTCTACCCATGAAGGAGGTCTTTTCACAGTACACATTTGTCTGTCTTCATGCATAATATTCCAGTCACAATTATCTGGCGAGGACTACCAGAATGAAGCCAATTAAGAAATTGGTTCTTCTTTAAGAAATTAAGGAATTTTTTTTTTAAAAAAAAAAAGCCAACATTTGAGGACTAGAATCCAGAAACCCTAAAAAAAACACATGGAGTCTATGAGTTAGAAAACTCCAGTCCCAATTCTCCTTAGCATCTTTGGTATAGTCTCTTAAACTAGGGGAGCTGAATTCCTCCCTCTTGGCTTGTGAGTTCACACACCATCTGCCTTCTGCACAGTGGACACATGTAGGTCACACAGTCAAACTATAAACATGGCTGCTATCAAGGTAGGAAGGATGTCAATCATTCAACCATCCTTGCTGGCTCCATAAAGAAGAAAGACTCCCCGGGGTTCAGCCCGGTGGCCATGAACCCACTTATTTTCCTCTTTTTATTTGTAGGTTTGTAGGAATTTTCTACTCTGAGAAACAACAGTCTTTGCGGGGAGGACTAAACAAAATCAAATAGAAAGCGGCTTCAAAATACAGCTGTTTGAGTTAGTGAGATGGCAGGGTGACATCATTATTGTCCCACTCACAGTGGGCTCCGCCCAGGAGAGATGATTAGGGCACTCAAACACAGGGCAGGTGAGTAGAAAGGTTGGACAGAGCTACCTGAGAACCACAGTTCTTACCCTATGCATTCCATGACCTCAAGCTGGTCGCTTCCCCTCTCTGAGTTTTCAAAGAGATAAATGGGTTAGTGTAGGCACACACCAGGAGCCTTCCCAACAGAACCTTCTTCCATTGATCTATTCTAGGTCATCTTCCATGCCAATACAAAACTGACACCTTCTTGGCAGCCCTGGGTTGCACAGCTCAGGGCCTTATCTAAGCAGAAGTTCCACTCCATCCATCACTGCCACTCAAGTGTCCGGGGTGACCTTTGAGTTGGAAAATCTTGGCTAAACTTAGGTATTTTCTTTGGAGTTTCCTTAGAATGTCCTGTAACCAGGACTTGCTTCTCATTCTCTCACCACAATATAAGGGCCACTCTCACCCCTAGCAACCAAGGAGACCGTGAAGAGACCTGTGCATCCTTCTCCAAACCAGTGAGTAGGGGTTCTCCCGGTGCGCCCCCATATGAGGGTCTTCAGGAGGCTTTGGGGCATAAGGCAGAGGGAAGGCACTGTGTGTGTTAGGGAAGTTGGACTCTAACAAATTTGAAGATATAGATAATATTGTGTCAGAATAATGACAACCTAGGTTCACGTGGGTTCTGTTGTCTGTTCAGATTTTATTCTTCAATGACTTTTCTCAGTTTATGGATAAGGGCTCCTACCTAGAGTCTAGACTCAATAGTGACAAAAGTCATAGCTATTTCCCAAAGGACAGTGTTGCCTCAAGCTTGGTGGAACCAGGTAGTGGGAGCCTTGAACTATTTTCAGGGAGGGGTCTCAAACTCCCATTAAGGAAAGTTTGAAGTTTCATTGAACAAAGACAACAAATTTAGGTCACAAAGTGCAGAGGAAATATGCCTCGAGCCGAGAAGGCAGCAAGAACAAAGAAATTGAGCATGCAGAACACGAGGTCAGCTTGACTTTCCACGTCTCACCCCATTGCATTCTGGCTGTGTCTTGGAAGTTTCTCTCCCTTCCTGACCTTGTCTGATCATCTCTAGAACAAGTCAACTTTTCCCCTCAGTCATAACTGTACGTAGTTATGTTTCCACTTCCATCCATTTCTGGAAATTTCATGATTTCAATTTTCTCTCTGGACTGAAGAAAATCCCCTTGTGCACTTGGCTCCACTTTCTTTTTCTACTCCTGAAGGTTGGCATCTCTGTCGGTTCCATTTCTTACCTATTGTGAGCAGAAGCACATCTGTCTTGTAGGAAGGTCAAGTGTGAGGGTGACAGATGTTCACTGTGGGTTCTGGTTTTTTCTTCTTCCTCCTATGACCAGGTAGGTATCAGGACTGAAGATGTTCCAACTTGGGAGCCTCATTGTCTTATGTGGCCTGCTCTCTGGGACCTCAGCCTTACTTTCAGGTAATATTGCCAGTGCCCTGAATAATTTGGAATTCTGAATTTGTCTTGAAAATGAGTCAATCAATGCGCTATTAGATGACTGATCCCAGGAGGAACAAATTAATCACTAAACCTGCAGGGGCTGCTGGGAGGGGTGGTGCTATCCTGTTTGGCCGGCTCACTAAGAAACGTGCGGCCATTCAATTCCTTCCTCACCCACTTTTCCTTTTAGAAATAAATGGTGCTATAACGTCATATCCTAATAGTGTCTCGACACTGTACGCACAGGATAAATCCATCAAAGTGAGATTTCAAAATTTTAAGAAGTTTGCATTTTAAATTATGGTCGCTGTTGACAAGTATTCCGCTGTCCACTGTCTCTAGCAGTCCGTGGAGGCACCCACAACCCACCCCACTGCTTCACTGAAAGCACCAACGTGGACACCTTTAACTGCTTTGGATTATCAGACACGAGAGCACGTGGTTCATTTCACTTTGTGTTTCTCTAATCCCAACGCTACTCTCGTTTTTTACATCTTTACTGCTGGTTTACATAATGTAACGAAAGTGTTCTGTCAAAGCTGTTAACATATGTTTTTGTAGCTCTTCGGCTTTCTTAGTGGTCTGTGTTGACTGGCTGGAAATGACGGTTATCACCAAGGTGTCCATAAGGTCCCCACTGTCTAGTGAACGGCACCTCTGTTCTCTGACTTAGAAGGGCATGGCTCCCTGAAGAACAGTTCTTAGAGGAACAGGAAAGTTCTGCACATGTTGCCTTCAGCCTTTCAAATATAAAGAAAGGAGCCATCCTCTCATCCCCGGGCTGGGGAGCTGTAGCAGAGAGAGAAGGGTGTTAGGGCCAGGTTACTAGGGAGTGTGTGGCTGGATGGAGCTCTCTAAGCAATGCCAGCTGCAATGTTAGAGTCTGCGTCATTATATCAGGTAGAGTCTGTCTGCCACAGAGCCAAGCTGCAGTACTGTGATGACATCAATTTGATTGAAAGTGTTTTTAATACTTAATTTTTATTTATGCATATGTATCTGTGTGTCCCCAGAAGCCAGAAGAGGGTGTCGGATCCCCTGGAGTTACAGATAGTTATGAGTCATCCAACAAGTGTGGTGGGAAATGAACTCTAGTCTTGCCCAAGAGCAGCAAGCACTCCTAACTGCTGACCAATCTCTCCAGTCCCACCACTGCATTGAAAACGCAGATTGTATATGCTCATACTTAAATGCTTTTTTTAAAATTATGTCCATACATATATATCACAAACAGCCTTAAAGCAACAAGTGAAATCTTTCACCATTACTTAAAGATATTCAGTACAGAAACAAGTACTAGTTAGTCCTCACAGGCGTATGAGTTCAGCAGCCACAACCAGAGAATGAGCTGAAACCCCACTACACAACCAGAGCAAAGCACACACGCTATCACAATTCTAAGCCAAACCGTCTTACAAGCACACGAAATGAAAGAGATTACAAAATGGTGGAGAAAACAGCAGGCACAACTGAGTTTCGATCAAAATTCTCAAACGTCATGTTAAATCACGACTCCTTTGTTGAGGTTTCCCTTTTTTTTTTTTTTTTTTTTTTGTCCCTGAGGTAGCAGTTGCTGTATTTCATAGGAGAGATATTTTCGACTCCTGCATCCTTAGTTCTGCACACGTGCCACCTGGCACAGGGCAACTGTGCATTTCTCCCCTGGTTCTCCTCTGAGATCTGTTGGGCAACTCCGCCCTCCTGCTCCGATGTCAATTACTCTTTTCTAGGACTGACCCCACGCTGTCATTGTGGGGCCCCTACTTCAGGCACTCACTGAAGTTTGGAGCAGTACTTTCCCTCTGTGTTTTTCTTTGTCTGAGATTTTTCCATTTCTTAGTTTGTTCTCTTAATTGCTTGACTAGGTTTTTCAAACCCCTGTGAGTATCTCAGTAAGAGGGACAGATCCTCAGGTCATCCCTGAAAACAGGTATACACAATCAACTTCAACTGATCTGTTGTTTTGCTGGGAAATGCTCAACATATATTAGTACAAAGTCTTCCTGGAAACCGTGTGGACACAATTCCCAACCTTAGGAGTCTTGGCTTCCTCTTTTGCACAATGGAGATGGTGGCAATCCTTTCTCACTGAGCTGTTGCCGAAAGTGAATGACGCGGCACGGAGAAGCTGACTTCCCTGAGACCAGGAGGATGGGAGCTCACTCCCTAGTGGCACTGATGGATAATGTTTTCTTACAGAAGTCCTTCAGGACCTAAACCTAGATCTTGCGTCTCTTCAAGAAGCCTTGAATTTGCAATCAATCAAGGACAACACTCTAGAAGCTTTGAAAACACTGGACCTTAACAGTTTAAACCTCCTTGGTTTACAGTAAGCTGCTGCTACTTTGCTGCCAGAAAAGGGAATAATCCTCTTAGGGAGGGCAGTCCAGTGTGAAAGACAGATGGGTAGGCCTCTTCTTCCCCACAGAGCTGAGGAGTTCTGAGGCAAGGCTCGTTATAGTTTTAGTAAATCTGAGGTAGGGCTACAGGGCCAGTTTGGACAATTCACGTGTCTGCTTTCACAAGTCTGTAATTTCATGGACAAGGTCCCCATTCCCACCTGCATCTTGGTATCTAAAGCCTTTCTCTATGAATAACACTTTCCCTCTTCACATTTAGCCAGAAGTAAAAGTCCAAGTTCCTTCAAGGGACAGGAAGCCGGAATCCACACCCCATTAGTCCCAAGCAGTGTGGAGTTTAGAGTCACACAGTTGTGGGTTGAAGTTCTGTCTCTGCTGACTATTGTTTCCCTGGCTCAATCCATGGCACCTTAGAGTGTAGAGACTCACACTTGTGACCAGGATGTGGTAGGACAGGAGGGTGATAAGCAGAGTTCCAAGGGCTGCAGGGAGGGATGACCAGAGGGTGAGGAACAGAGTTACAAGGCTGCAGGAAGGAATGACTAGAGGGCGATGGGCTGAGTTGCAAGGCTTCAGGGAGGAATGACAAGAGATAACGTATGGATTTTGTGCAGGGTGAAGATCAAAGAACTGAACCTCTTGGACATGAAAGCTTCCTCATCTTCCGATGGCAATGCCATTATCGTGCAGGTGCCTGTCAGAGCGAATGTCTCTGTGTTTCTGTGAGTATGTGTCCCTTGTATTTACGGGGTGGAGTGCTATGTAGCTGATTTGAGTATGCATTTAATTCCCAGCTACAGTGTAGCCTTTGGCCCAAGTTTCCTACTTTGTAAAAGAGAGGAACATTTGAGGCCTAAAATATCAATCTTTAAAGTATTCTAGTGAAAGCAAGCCATATTGCTTCTTTCAAAAGAATGTATATGTATATATGTTTCTTTCAAAAGAATATACATGTAATGCGCTTTGCTGTGTGTGGTGCACATATATCCTCACGTGTATGAAGCTTCACGTGTGCACTCACATGTGTCTTTGGAGACCAAGGGGTCAACCATGAGTTTTTGTCTCAATCACTTGCCACATTCATTTTCAAGTTCGTGTCTCTTAAAGAACCTGGAAATCAAAGATATGCCATAGACCTAACGGGTAAGAGTAATATAATTTTAATCTTTTTCATTTAAAAGGAGAGGTAAAGGAAAATTGCAGTCAAGATCCTGTGCAACAGAAACTCTAGAGACTAGGGGTTTCCTTTAGAGAGAGCACGTGCCCAGCACACGTGACCCTGGCTTAAATCTCTAGTAATGGAGTACTTTGTAAATTAGATCCATCTGTGAAACCATGAGCAGTGACATCCCCGGGTAGTTATTTAACCTCTCAATGCCCAGAGCTGTTGATAAAATAGAGCGTGATTTCACTCCTAGCAGTCTTGAAATAGTAGAATGGATTAAGCCATTTTATTAAACCATGTAGAGTATTTTAAATGAGTGCCAACAGGTAATGTGTGCTACAAAATAATAACAATTATTTTTGTTATTAGACATAGCCAAGGAAAAATCTTACACATGTTAAACAAGTATGGCATAGAGAAACCCTAAACAAGCATGTAAATTTTGTAGAGGATATGTAACGTGTTGACATCATCCAGATAATGTTGATATTGCCCATACATTCCCTGCACTGTGTCCACACAGACAGACGAAAACCAGGGAAACCCGAAAAGGCTTCTCTGTGTCTAGAGTCACTCTTGTTTTCTGCAGGCCTCTTCTTGGCTCCACAGTGGACGTTGCTGTTTCCTTGGACGTCATAAATTCACTGAATGTTAAAACTAATGCCAAAACTGGCCTTCCCACTGTGGTCATAGGGCAATGCTCAAGTGATACCGACAATATCTCCATTTCCTTGTTGGGCAGGTAAGGCTCATCCACCCCAGCCAGGCTCTCCGGGGGCTTTAGGACCCCTGACTTTAATCCTTTTCCTATTACTTGGGAAGTAGCATCGTAAAATATACAATAGGCCCAGCCTCAAGTATCAACTCTGCCACAGCTATCAGCACTAATACCCTGCTATTGGTCAAAACTATTGACCAAGCTTTGTAAGTCCCTTCTTCATCTTTTGAAGCTTCCGTTTGCACATCCGTGGGTCTGAACAGTAGAGATCTATACTTATCAGCTTCTGGGATGGAGATATGAGAAAATACACATGTTAGCTTAGAGCCCGGAACATGCTAAGTTCTCAAGAACCATGAGATCTACACTGAGTCTATAGACTATGTCTTTCCATTGCTGAGGCAGGAGGATGAACCTTTCCAGCCATACTATGCATGTGCCTATGGTACCTTTCAGCTGGGTCAATGTGTCTCATGCTTCTGAACATGTTAACATTACATCCACCTCCAGAGGGAGGCATTTGGAAAATTAGATGCTAGCATGGTCTCTGCTTGTCCTGAAGTAATCTCTACCCTCAGGAAAATCCCTAGAGTGGAATCTTGACATCCTAATCCTGTCATTTTCTATCACTGATTTCTATTGCTCCTAAAAAAATTTACATCTTTAATTTTCTATTTGGAAAAGTAGGTTTGCTTTAGGCAGGGATCAGAGAAAGTGATGCTACTCCATCTGGGAGAGGAAACATGGCCTGGAAGTCAAGTGCTGGGGCTGGGAGAACAAGGTCAGGAACAGAGGGATGGCCTCTGTCCTAATCTTGATAACCATGTCCCTCTACCAAAGATCTGATCTCTAAGACAAGACCATAGTTTTGGCATGAATACCCAAAGGCCTGGCTCCTGCTGGACACTCCCAGGTCAAGCAGCAGCAGGAAACTATTGTTGTTCCAGGGGGTCTGAATCTCCATGGCCATGAAGACTCTCATTACATGGTTCGACCCACACCCTCCTTAAAACACACTGGATTTTTTTGTGCTCAGATAGGTTTTTTTCCTACCTTGGGACCTCTGCAAGGAAGTGGTGGCTATGTAAAACACCTTTCTCCTTTCTCAATGCACTTTTCATTTCAAAAGATCTTTGACAGATTCCTTCTTTTTCTTCTAAGAATATTCTCTTAACCTTCAGAGAACTTGGACTTGGCCCTGTTGTCATTGTGTGTGAATACATATTTTGAGACAAAGTCTCACTGTACAGCTCTGGTTAGCTTCAATCTCAGAGGTCTGCCTCCTTCCAACTCTGAAGGATTAGGATCAAAGGTTGGTGACATCAGAACAGGTGTGACACTGTATATTTAACTGGACTTTTTCTTTGCTTATTTTGTGTTGGGGGGATGGGGTGTTAGTGTGTGGGCACCCATGCACATGTGTCAGTGGTTAGAGCTCACCAAGTAGGCTAAGCCAGCTGAAGAACCTCCCCTTCTGTGTCTTCAGTGCTCTGGATCACATGTGTTAGCTATCACCTGGCTTTCCTTTCTGTCTTTTCTTTTCTTTTCCTTTCTTTCTTTCTTTTTCTTTTTTTCTTTCCTTCTTTCTTATACAACAGCTAGAGATTAAACTCAGGTCCTCATGATTGTAAGGGATATAATTTATAGACTAGTCTATCTTCTCGGCCACATTTTCTCATTATTGTAGTCAAAAATCTACTTAGTGTTAGGTGGGCATTATTCTGTGCCCCGGAGAACAATTTGGTGAAAACAAAAAGTCTCTCTGTCTCCCAGAACACATCCAGAGGGAAAATAAGGCAGGGGAGCATTTGGTCCCTTAGTGGGGAGCCCTACACCACCCATCATTCTTATGAGGGCACAAGAGGAGCAAACCCTCCTTCCAGTAAACACTCGTAATAGGAACCTGAGGAGATAATAGCTGGATGAGAGATGAAGATGAGAGATGGCAACCTCAGTGAAACTTGTTAATGATGGAGGTTATTGCCCAGTGTCCCAAGGTTCAGTCCAGTGTTCTCTGTAAGTAGAGGCTGAGTGAATAACACTGTGTCAGGGCTGGGAAGAGCATCCAGGTACTGAGTAAGCAGCTATTTAGGTGTAAGATGCTCAGATGCTCAGTGACAGTTCATCCTGACATGGGCCACTGGGCAACAAGCTAGACTGAGACCACAGAGCAGAGTTGTGTGTCATCTGACCTCCTGAGGACTCTCTAGGCCATATCGAACTCTTGACCAAGCTTTGCAAGTCCCTTCTTTTCCAGACGAAGCGCCTTACTCAACAGATTGTTGGATGAAATATCTGGTCGCCTTACAAACGTAGTGAGCAACCTGCTGCAAAACCAAGTAAGTCACCAGGTCTTAGAGCCAGGCCTGCTGGGGGCAGGAGAGGTATCTGTGGGTGTGGCTGTGTATTCAGGACACTGTCTCCTATGAGGTGCTGAGTTCTCTTCGGGAGGTCAGTGGGCACCTCCTCTACCCTCAGTAGTTGGGCTACAGAGAGAGGAGGCAGAAATCACAGGTGCTGCCTTGAGCTGTTGACCACATCCATGCTCCACGCGTGTGTGCCCCGTCTACACCACCCGTGTACTTTAAGCTAATGTTTTCCTGTAATCAACACACTTTTCATTTAAACGACTGTATTTAAGCACCTGTGAATGAGAAGCTGCAGGGAACTGGGCATTGGGGCTCCCCAAAGGCTTAAGCCTTCCGAGGATCTTGAATTTCCAGGCTCAAGAGTTCAAGGTTTAAGGAGTCGGGGGTATAAAGGTTCTGGATGGCGGATCTTCAGATCTTGAACTTCTGAGGTGGGGGGTTCTCAGAAGCCTGGGACAGCTCTGATTCAGGCCATACAATCCCATAGTTCCAGATTGCTAAGGTTAACTGTTCTCAGGTCCTGGAAATCAGCCCCTCTGCTGGGGGAGGGTGGGCAGTGTGTTCCAGCAAAGTCTCATCTGTTTTCCTTCTCCCTCCCCTTTTCTTTCTCTCTGTTTCTCTCTCCCTCTCAGTTATGTCCACTGCTCCAATCGTTACTCAGCGACATGGATTCAAACCTTCTTCAAAACCTCCTCTGTAAGTCACAGCTTGGGGACTGGAGTGCCTTCCATGGGCTAAGACAACAGCTGTGGGTGTGTCCCTGTCAGGGACCTTGCATCCTGACAAAGTTGGGCCTTTCATTTCTCTTCCCCTCACTGGGGCTTCTTTTGAGGCTTCAGGTCTCCATGATTGACAGGGTTGTTGGGGAAACAGGAATCAGGCACCAAGGGTGTCAGAACCTGGAGGTGATCCTTCAGTGTCTTGTGTGTGCTACCTCGTTGTGTCCTCAAGAGAGTCTGTATAGTGAGCCACTGTCATTGCTCACTTTAGATGAAAAGTGACACACTTGAAGTCACAGAAGTGACAGAGGAATGAGCAGGAGGGAGGTAACAAGTTGGGTGGGCCTCTGTTCAGTTTCCCATGGTAAATACTGAGGTTTTGATCATGACTTGGTTCTTTCAGCTAAAGTACAGTTGCCAGTCTCCCTCTGAAGAGGAAGGAGCCGAAGGAGGGACGCCATGGCACTCCTGCTGGTATGGGCAGTGTCCTACTTACTTTTCTATTGCTGTGACGAAACAACGTGACCAAGGGAAACTATAAAAGAAAGCATTTGTTTTGGGATTCAGAAGCCCAGAGGGTTAGAACTCACGACCATCAGACTGAGGGGCATGGCATGCAGCATCAGCTGAGAACTCATGTATTGAGACACAGTCACCAGTTAGAGCGAGCTAACTAGGAGAGGCATGGTCTTTTCAAATCTTAATACCCATCTCTAGAGGCACACCTCCTGCAACAAGGCTGTACTTCCTAAACTTCCCAAACAGTTTATCTCACTGGGGACCAAGTATTCAAACATGTGACTTATGGTGGCAGTTCTCATCAAACCCACAGGCAGACCCTGTCCTGTGCACAGCAGCCTGTCAGGAGCCAGGGCTATGCTCGTTTTGTTTCTGTCACAAGACAAGAGAAAGTGAGACCCGATCCTGACTCCAAGCTGAACTGTAATTTTGAGTTCACCCCAAACCTGAACCCACATCATGAACCCAGACACAGCTGGTATCTTTGTTACCAGATGATTTATCTTCCTAGGAGGGTTTTCTGAACTTTGAGTACAGACACTGGCCCGTGGCCTGCATCTGGATCCTGGCTTTGTGAGCGTGGTTTCTAACCAATCGTTTCCCATTCAGAGGAAGGGATAAGTAAGGGCCTGGGCCAGAAGAGAGAACAAGACCACAAATCTATACATTTCCCTATCCTCTCCAAGGACTAATCCATGTGGCACTTCAGGAGTGAGTGGATAGTTAGGCCAGGCTTCCTGGATCTACTCAATGTCCAGTGACAGCCAGCTCTTGCTGCTGCCATAACAGTTAATGGTCAGGTGCCCTGTGTTTCCATTCCAGGTTAGTCTCCAGTGGCTTCATCTGACCCCCTGTGGCATTTCTCTCTAGAAATTGCTACCACTACTTGCACAAAGTCTGCCTGAGCCCACCTAGAGGACCCTCCCAGACTTCCTTCTTCTCCTAGTACTCTCCACCCTTGCTATTCCCACCTCAGCATTAAAACCCTAACTGCACCCTGGTGTGTGACTTGCTTCAGTACTTGCATTAGGAGTTGTTGGCAGGGTGTGGTGTGTGTGTGTGTGTGTGTGTGTGTGTGTGTGTGTGTGTGTGTATGACATCGGAATTGGGTGGTGGTTCATTCTGACCCTGGAGACTGATGCAGAATGAGGACCACCCTGTCTAGTGAGATCCAGAAGCATAGAAAGACGGGCTCAGGCAGGTGGCTGTGGCCTTTCCTGACTGTCTCTTCCAGAGGGGCCTCTCCACCCCTCTTTATCTCCAGGCTCATTTAACCCTCGCACTGCTACTCAGTTCCTGAATGTCACATCCAGACTACAGGAATCTTAGTCTCCCTGAGGACACCTGAGATCCTGGGGACACACAGGGTTCTTGATTCCACCATTGACAGGGAGGTTGCAACTAAAAAGTCTTTATACTTCACAGCATCCTGATGGCAAGAGGAAGAAACTAAGGTTCACAGAGGCATTCGGGTCTGAGCAAGGGCAGAGCTAAGGTGGCACTGACCCTCCTCTACCATTTATGGAATCATGGTTTTGCCTTTAAAATGCCATCCCTGAGTTTCAGCACCAGGAGACCCCAGAAATGAGCTCTCACTCCTAGTCACCAGGCAAAGTTGAAGGCTCTCACACTTCATTGGTTAATTAGTGTGGAGGTCTGTATCTTTCTGAAGTGTTTTATATTACTTCCCCTGTGTACTATGAAAGAGATGAACACGTTCTCTGGGGGCAGAATTTGTGAATAATCCACCTCTACCAGGAAGCCCCTGTCTTGATAAGCTTACAACTCAGGGACAGCAACTACTACTGGCCTAGTCCTTGATGTCAGGGTTCCTATGGTTTGAATCTGCATTGCCCCGCCCCCCATGGGCTCAAATGTTTGAACACTGAGTCATCTCCTGGCAAACCTGTGTTGGAGAACGTGGGCCCTTTGAGACCAACTCAGCAGGAGAGAGTTGCTGAGCACCCGTCTTCACAGTCATTTGCCTCTCCAGTTCCACTGCTTGCTACCTGATTTGTCAGACATGTCAAAAACTGGTATCCCAGCAGACTCTCCCCCTCCCCAGCTGCCATATCCTCCCCACCATGACACACTTATATCTCTGAATCTGAATCCAAAGCAGCCCTTCCTGCACTGAGTTCTTTCTGTTAAGACTTTGACCACAGTGGCTAGAAAACACTTAATGCAGAGAATTAGTACCAGCAAGGGGGTCCACTTGGCTGGGAAGTCCGGCCATGTCTGTAAGAGATGCACAGAAGAGTCTGCACTGTGAACTAGAGAAATGCCACGGAGCTTTAAGAATGGTTTAATGCACTGTACGGATGGGAGTGGGAAAATCCAAATGTTCACAGAGAGGCTGACGGGAAGACCTGAGCTTTCAGAGTTTCAGAGGGGATAAGAAGGAAGCCGTGAAGAAAGGAGCTAGAAGCCAGTTGTGCTACATCAAGAGAAGAATCTGACTGTGCTTGGTCCATGTAACTAAAATCTGAATGAGGCCAGATTTTAAAGTAGTGGATTAACTTATTTCTCAGAGGAAATTTCAGGACAACCCCACTCCGGCAATGACATGATTGTGAACTGCTACTTTTAGCCAGCTCTGTGGTTACATTTCAGGGTAAAAACTGAAACATGAAAATATGAAAACATGAAGTTTAGTGAAGTAAGGGGGTGGGTTTCTATGAGGACTGTGCATAAGACTGGGAAGGTGAGACTTAGGTGAAACCCTAAGATCCTGGTAATGCCACTACTTAGGAAACCTGCAGACACCTGTTTTAGCTATTTTGCTCATGGATGCAACAAAATATTTGCCTGGAAACCATTTAAGAAAGAGGTTCTTCTGGCTTACAGTTACCAGAGAAATAAACATTCTATTGTTGCAAAGAAAGCATCTTGGGCAGGAGGCCAGCTAGTCACATGGCAGCCACAGCTGGGAATCGGAGTGTGTCCAGAAAAAAGTGACAGGTTATAAAGCCCAGGGCAAGTCCTAGTGTCCAACTTCCTTCAGCAAGGCTCTACCTTCTGAAGATTCTCGTCTTTTCAAACAACAACACCAGCCTGGGACCAGGAGTTCAAACAAATGAGCCTTTTCTGGTTACTTCACATTTAAGTTATGGTAGCCTCTAAGTGGAGCCCCTGTGTGCTGTAGGAAGAGTGACCACTGGGGCAGAGATCTCTAGGTAGATATGGATTCCTTTATCTGCAGGATCCTATGAGGGCTTGACAAGCATTGGGGCTGCTGTGTTTGCAGATGGAGACTGAGGCCTGGAAAGATGGTGGGGGCAGTCCAGCATCAGACAGAAAGGGCTAGGTGGAGCCTGGTGGGACCTGAAGGCTCTACGGCAACAGGCTAGAGATCTGCAGCTAGGATCTCAGCCTTCTCCACAGTACCAGGAACAGTGTCCCCGATCAAGGTCTCAGCATCTATGCTCAGGCAGGATCTTGACACTCAGTTCTTCTGGAAGTTCTCCTCGCTTCAGTTAGCAGAGATTTGCTAGGGGATCCCAGAAACCCTTCCTTTGCCACCCAAACTTGTGGCTTTGAACCTCATGGGAATACAATACCTGATGAGATCCAACTCTCATGTCTTATGGAACACAGAAATAGAGTCCCTTGCCAAGACAGGTTAAGTCTCCCTCAGTCTCTCTAGTTTATGATGCAGGAAACTAATGTGGATGGGTTCAGTGAGACTCTGATGACCCAGGCTATCTAGGATTTAGGGAGAGCAGGGGAGCGCAGGCAGCACCCCCTCTTCTCCAGTGGGCTACCAGCTTATAGAGGTGGACAGGCAGATGACTATAGACCACAATGCAGACTTCCACTGTGCCACTCAGACGGATCAGCTGCTAAGAGATTTGCACCTCTTTGTAACTTGGGAAGAAGCCATTGCTCCTGCCCTGTGGTTGACATCAGCAAGACCAGGGGTACAAACAACACCTCCAGATTACTTTGTAGGAAACACTAAGAGAAAGGAGTGTGGCCCTGGAAAAGTGTGACGGATAATCTTGCTTGTTATCTTGATGGTGTCTGGAATGAGCTAAAGTCCAGATATGGAGGGCATACCTGTGAGAGATAGTCTGCTTCATCTGAAGGCCATGAATTCGCTTCTATTCTGGACCTTTGAGGTAAGAGGACACACCTGTGATCTGAAACTTGAGGTGGGAAGACAACACACCTTTGAACTAGGTCTCCAAGCAGGAAGACACACCTTTAATTTGGGCCACACCTTCTGCTTAAAGCCTATATAAGGGCATGGAAGAAGGACCATGTGTTCGTTTGGAGGAACTTTTGACTTTGGTACTTTCAGTTTAGAAAGCAAGGGACTAGTTTAAGTACTGATTAGTGGGCCATACTAGTAGAATCATGGAAGACAGTATGCAAAGAGTTATTTGAACTGTAGGGGGATCACTTAAGAGGTTTTAGAGGAGAAGAATTTTAGTATGTTTCCTACAGATTGTTCTTGTGATATTTTGGTGAAGAAAGTGGCTGCCTCATGTCCTAAGAGTCTGCCTGAGGCTAAAGTGAAGAATTTTGGATTAATTCTGTTGCCAAAGGAAATCTCAAAAACAGTATAAACTCTGTTGTGTGGTTTTTAGTGCTAACTCTAAAGATGTATAATGGAAAGGAGCAAGCTGAGCATAGTAAATCACAAATGAAAATTTTAAGGAGAAAAAGAGCACCAGGAAGTGGCGTAGAGCTAAATCGTGTGTACAAGGAGATAAATGGATTAAGAAATGGAATAAAGAAACCGGCCCATCCTCCTCAGCGCCCGTCACTGCCAGGAGCTCTCTCTGTGTGTCTTGCTGCTCTGCTGCCATCTTTGACTGGTGCACTTCCCAAACCGCTCTAGCCAACACTGCAACAGCCCCAACTCCGCGGCCTCCCTCTGCCCTCCATTCTCCAGGGTCAGACCTCTGGGCGCCTGCCCTTAGGCTCCGCCCCTCGCGATGCCTCACACAAAGCCCTCCCTGTGGGAAACCCAGCCGCTTTCCGCCCTCTAGTGGCTCCTATGCAAACCGCACCGTAGGGGCGAAGGTAGGAGGTTGGTGGATGTAAGGAGGGGCTGGTTTTCCCACAGGCCTGAGGGAGGTAGGACTCTTGAAGAAGTCAGATCCTGCAATTATTCATGGTCTCATCCTTTAATTTCGTTAACTTATTTACTTGTTCATTCATTTCCTCCTTGAAGCATTACCTAGTGCTGTCTATGGCTTGATGTTCTCCCAAGTATCTTGTCTTCTTGTTGCTTTTATTCTTTGAACCTAACAGTCCCATGCTCACAACCTCTCCTTGGTTTCCTCTCTTACCTTAGTAGAAGTCTCCTGGCTTGCCACTTGTGTACGAAAAAAAAAAAAAAAAAAAAACAGTCCTTCCAATTTTCCCCCCCGAGACAGGGTTTCTCTGTAGCTTTGGAGCCTTTCCTGGAAGTACCCCTTGTATACTAGGCTGGCCTTGAACATACAGAGCTCCACCTGCCTCTGCCTCTGCCTCCCAAGTGCTGGGATTAAAGGTATGCGCCACCATAGCTTTTTCTGCTTCAGGCCCCTTACCCTTGATGGTCCTGAAATTGACTAAGTAGACATTGGTGCTTCCTCACTTCCTCTTTACCTCTGCTCCAAGGGTTTTGTCGCAAACATACTCTGCCTTTTAGGTCCTTAATTTCTATGCTTTACCCTGCCTAGGATGTTTTTCCTTTCTGCTTTACTTTGTTAACTCTTGCCCATTTTCAGGTTTTACTTGCTAAGGGACCTTGAGGAATTCTTCAGCTCAAATTCTGCTCCCTTTTGAGATAGGGTTCTCTAACTCACTGAGATCCACCTGTTTCTGCCTCCCAAATGCTGGGATCAAAGGTGTGTACCACCACCACCTGGCCTGACCCCGCCTTTTTTGTTTGCTTTTCTGTTTTTGAGACAGGGTCTGTAGTAGTAGGAGCGGCAGGCTGCGTCCCTGGCA